ATCACAGCCTGGGCCCCTGAAATCACCCAGTGATTGCATTACCTATTTGAGCAAATCTATTTCTGCAAAACCCAGGAATACACTGGACTAAATGCAGCTGACATTCGGTGATGTCCTCCAACTCAATAAGCAAGTTAAAGTGGACTTTAGATTTGATCTGCTTCAATAATAGCACCAGAAGATTAGCTTTCAGATTCTTTTTCCCCCTTTAAAGACACTGAACTATTTCTTGCAACCATCAAGCCATCTGTATGATGATTCATTCCAAGCATATTTTAAACAGAGAGCAGAAACAAAAAGTACTTAGTGCTAATTTCTTTTGTTTTTGTGCTTTTTATTGGAGATCTTGTCTCCCTAAAACCACGTGCCCTGCTTAGCAAGATTTTGGTTCTCCAGCTTTCAGACAGACAGAATAAGACATTGTCTCAATTTTTTTTTCTCCAAGGGTGCTTCAACAGACAGATGCCAAACTGTCCGCCCTCTCAAATATTTCCTCCTTTTTTTAAACCCCTCTGGATTATCCTGCTCCGAGAAGAGGGAAAGAAGGATGTTAAATACTAAAATGCTAAGGGCTGGTTTTAAAATGCAACTTTTCACTAGAATGAGATAAGAATCAGATTCTTTGCTTCCATGGAAAATGCTGTCCACATTTTCTTTCCTAATAATACCCTGGCTTTAAGGAGCCAAAAGTCAGGAAATTCCCACTGGAAAAAAAGAAATGCTACATTTCTGGACAAAAATAACAATAACAGAGTTGGAAGGGATCTTGGAGGTCTTCTAGCTCAATCTCTGGCTCAAGCAGGAAACCTTATATCATTCCAGACAAAACACTGGAGGTTTTTAAAAAGAGATTGGACAACCACTTCAGACAAATGGTTGTCCAATCTATTTTTAAAAACCTCCAGTGTTGGAGCATCTACAATTTCTGGAGGCAAGTTGTTCCAACTGGTTAATTGTTTTGACTGGCCTGAAATTTCTCCTTAGTTCTAGGTTGCTTCTCTCCTTGATTAGTTTCCATCCATTGTTTCTTGTCCTGGTGCTTTGGAGAATAGATTTGACTCCTACCTTCTTTGTGGCAGGCCCATTAATATTGGAAGACTGCTATCATGTCTTTCTTTTCGCTAAACTAAACATTCCCAATTCCTGCAACCATTCTTCGTACGTTTTACCCTTCAGTCTCCTAAATCCGATTTTCGTCTTTTCTTAGATGTTCCTTGCCGAAATTCTGTTTCTTTCATATCACAGAAGCATCAACAATTCCTTCTGTGTTGCAGGTTTAAATTAACATCCTTCTTCATAATTAGCCCATTGATACAGAACAGTTTTTTAACTGGAGTAGACATCAACCATATTTTCATACCTCCACCCAAAGATATACACTGGTCAAAATCTTACAGGATTTCCAACATTTCTTTCTGATTTGTGTCCTTGTTTTAAATCTCATGAACCCACAGAAATCTGGAAAGATTTCAGTAACTTTTAACATTACAAAATATTATTAAATTTTGGGGTTCTACAAACTTCATCCCATTATTATTATCTTGTGGTTGATTCCTTACTTATCTGGTTCTTTACCAAAGCCAAATTACAGAGATATTTCACTAGAATCTAAGAATCTAAAAGAAGATATTTATTCTTGCCTGAAACTGTATTCCTTAACATACTGCAATTTTGTTTGATTTTTCACTATTATATGCAACATTTGGGTGAGATTGAACAATTAGAGAAGGGCTTCACCGAATATGGAGAAATGAGAATTCAAAAAGATAGAGTTCAGTTCACATAGTAATTTAACAATGTGAAATCAGGAAAACTGCCTTTCATTTCATCCCAGCCCTTCACCTTATACCATCATAGAGAAAAAGATAGTTAATTATTATGATCATTTGCTGCTGCCTCCTGATCAGATGCAGTAGAGAACTGAATATCTTTTGTCAAAAAAATGCAAACAAGGAGGGACTATCAGAGGTGTGGAAGAGATGCCATCACAAAATTCTTCTGTTATAGGATACTTAGCAATGTAGAGCACAAGTAGTCCTCACTTAGAAATTACAATAATTAGGATTGGTAACTCCAGCATTAGATGAGGGAATAGAAGGGGAATTTACCAAATTTTCAGATGATACTAAGCTGGCAGGAATAGCTAACACCCAAGAAGATAGGCTCAAGATCCAAATGGATCTTGACAGACTAGAACACTGGGCCGGATCTAACAAAATAAAATTCAATGTAGAGGAAAGTAAAACCCTACACTTAGGCAAGAAAAACCAAACATACACATATAGACTGGGTTGAAACCAGTAACTCAATAGCAGTAGCTGTGAGAGGGATCTTGGAGTCTTAGTGGACAACCAACTAAATATGGGCCAGCAGTGTGCAGCAGCAGCCAAAAAAGCTAATGCAATCCTAAGTTGCATTAACAGAGGGATACAAACGAGATCAAGTGAGATACTAATACCACTCTATAAAGCCTTAGTCAGACCACACCTAGAGTACTGCATCCAGTTTTGGTCACCACATTATAAAAAAGATGTTGAGACTCTAGAAAAAGTACAGAGAAGAGAACCAGGATGATTAGGGGACTGGAGACTAAAACATATGAAGAACAGTTACAGAAACTGGGCTTGGCTAGTCTAGTGAAGAGAAGGACCAGGGGAGACAGAAGAGCAGTCTTCCAATATTTGCCACAGAGAGGAAGGGGTCAAGCTATTTTCTAAAGCGCTTGTAGGCCAGACAAGGAATAATGGATGGAAACTGATCAAGGAGAGATTCAACCTGGAAATAAAGAGAAATTTTCTGACAGTGAGAACAATCAACCAATGGAACAGCTTGCCCTCGGAAGTTGTGGAGCACCATCACTTGAGACTTTCAAGAAAAGATTGGATTCCCATCTGTCAGAAATGGTGTAGGGTCTCCCACTTGGGCAGGGGGTTGGACTAGATGACCTACAAGGTCCCTTCCAACTCTGATTATCTGTTAATACTGTTAATTAAGCAACATAGTTAAGTAAAACATCATTGAGGCTTGTGACATCAGTTCCGACTTGGTCATCAAGTGAGTCAATACAGTCATTAAGTGAGACAACACATGAATGTGATTGCAATATTAATTCTAGCTTCTCCACTGGCTCTGCTTGTCAGAAGTCAGCTAGCAAATAGTGACGCTATGACCACAGGATGCTGCAAGAGTCATAAATAGAAGGACTGGCCTTAAAGTTACTTTTTGGATGTCATCATAGCTTCAAACCATTGTTAAATAGGACAGCCGCAAAGTGAGGTCTACCAACTGACCAGATGCAACAAGGCATTATAGACAGTCCTTGACTTACAACAGTTCATTCAAAGTTACAACGACACTGAAAAAAAAGTGACCTATGACCATTTTTCACACTTACGACCACTGCAGCATCCCCCATGGTCACTGTGATCAAAATTCAGATGCTTGGAAACTGGTTCATGTTTATGACCGTTGCAGTGTCCTGCAATCAACATTTTCCAACCTTCTCCCAAGCCAAGTCAATGGGGAAAGCCAGATTCATTTAATAACCAGGTTACTAATTTAACAACAGCAATGATTCACTTCACAAGAAGTGGCAAGAAAAGTCATAAAATGGGGCAAAACTCGCTCAACGAATGTTTCACTTAGCAACATACATTTTTTGCTCAATTGTGGTTGTTAAGTCGAGGACTACCTGTACTTATAATTGAATGTCAGTGCTTAACTATTACAAAGTGCAAGAAAATTTCTATGCACTTTTTTTGGAAAGAATGGGCGCGCTTGGTTGATGTGTTTTTGCACTGAGATTATCTTCTGAGAGCATCCCCCACTTTTGCATGTGGAATCCAGAAAGTGCAAATAATATCACACAATTATTTTCCTTCCTAATGTTCCCAACTGGCAGAAAGGAAAAAAAAAGGAGCCATGGAAAAGGGGATTAAAAAAAAAAAAACCCTCACCAGCTGCCAGCAAACAAAGCAAATTGGATTTATCAAATTGTGGTCCTCTATTATGGAAACTACCCCAACCAACATCCTATTTCTCAATGTACAATGATACAGTATTTTTACTGCAGTGTTTCCTCCCTCTAATAAGCATGTCAAAATGTCGATTTCGGGAAGGACCCAATTAACTAATTCTGCCAATCAGCCTGCTGGATGAGGTTGCTTGGGAGAACGAGAGATTTCGAACAATCGTTCTGCGATGATTTGTTAGTCTGTAAATATTTCACTCTGCCAATCTCGCATGAAATTCTCCAAGCATCCGTTCGTTTGTGCATCCATGCGTGCAGCTTATCTGCCACCTCAATCAGTAGTGGGATTCAATTTTTTTACTACCGGTTCTGTGGGCGTGGCTTGGTGGGCATAGCAGGGGAAGGATACTGCAAAATCCCCATTCCCTCCCCACCCCACTAACCTGATTTCCAGCTCCCTTCTCCTGTGCAGAGCAACCAAAGAAGACCCAGCCAATCAGCTGTGGGTGTGGCTTGGTGGGTGTGGTGTTCTGTGGGTGTGGCTTGGTGGGCATAGCAGGGGAAGAATACTGCAAAATCCCCATTCCCTCCCCACCCCACTAACCTGATTTCCAGCTCCCTTCTCCTGTGCAGAGCAACCAAAGAAGACCCAGCCGATCAGCTGTGGGTGTGGCTTGGTGGGTGTGGTGTTCTGTGGGTGTGGCTTGGTGGGCATGGCAGGGGAAGGATATGTAAAATCCCCATTCCCTCCCCATCCCACTAACCAGCTTTCCAGCTCCGTTCTCCTGTGCAGGGCAACCAAAGAAGACCCAACCAATCAACTGGGACTCAATGGGAGGCAGAGAAGAGATGGGGGTGGGGCCAGTCAGAGGTGGGATTGGCCGGTTCTCCGAACTACTCAAAATTTCCACTTCAGATTCTCCAGAACCTGCTGAATGCCACTTCTGACCTCAATCCTAAGTGGGATCTCGGAGGCTTACATTATCCATGAACCACTTTCAGGAGATTTGAGCTTTCTCGTCCCACCTACCTGTCCCGTCTTCCAAGTGTCCGAAGTTACAGATCTGAGTGATGTGGTGGATCCACACGTGCATTTCCTCTTCCGATTTGGCCACCAGGTAGAAGGTGCGGTAGGTTGTTTTCACAACAAAGACAAAGTTATTCTGGAACTCCTTCTTGATCAGGTTGGAGCCCGAGTGCTTCACCACTTCACACTCGTTCAGGTCGATCACCCGGATTGGCTTCTTGGAATGACTGTTCCGATAATATTCCAGCACGTCGGGGTTGCCGCTCATCCGGCCTTGACGTAACACGAACCAGCGTTTCCGCCAAGCCTGAGGAATAAGAAAATAAGAATAAGAAAATAAAAATAAGAAAAATGATTGAAAAAAAGAGAAAGATACTCCCTTAGTCCTGACCATACGGTTTTTCTACCTCTGGGCTCTTCCAGAATCTTCCAGAATATGCAGGTAGTTCTTTTCTTAGGACCATAATCGAGCCCAACACTTCTGTTGTTAAGTAAGGCTATTGTTAAGTGAGTTTTGTCCCATTTTATGACTTTTCTTGGCACATTTGTTAAGTAAATCACTGCCGTGGTTAGATTAGCAGCATGGTTGTTAAGTGAATCTGGCTTTGTTATTGACTTTGCTTGTCAGAAGGTCGCAAAAGGGGATCACATGACCCCAGGATGCTGCAACTGTCATAAATGTAAGTCACTTGTCAAGCATCCTGACGTAGAGTAAATCATGTGCCCATGGGGATGCTGGAAAGGCTGTAACTGTGAACAATGGTCATAAGTCACGCTAGTTTGTTTAGTGACCATTCAAAGTTAAAACAGCACTTTTTTCAGTCACTAAATGGTCACTAAACAAACTAACATGTATTATCTGTACACTGTACTACTAAAATCCTCATTGTTATAACCCTTAACTGGACAAAATAGCTTATCATGGCAACACTTTTTGAACTAGAATATATCAAATGGGCTAACTTACGGAATGTGTCCAAAATCCAGGACCCATGACATCCGAGGGAATGAAATTTGGGGAAGCTGTGGCTGCTTCAGTGAAGTCACATGATCTTCACTTTCAAAGTTCCATGACAGTTTCCCAGCCACTTTTGCAATCCCCTCTCTTCCTCCCTTATCCAGCAGCAGCCACTTACCCAGAGGAAGGAGAGAGGAGGGGAGGGAGATTTCTGATGCTTCTTGCCTGATTCCCACAAGGAACCTCAATGGGGAAACCAGCAGGAAGTCAGAAGTCACTGCTGCTTCCACTGCTTTTTTTTTTTTTTTTTGCCAATCCTTGGTCATTCTGTTTAGGTTCATCTCTGAAATGATGACCCAATGAGGCATCTAGTCTCTACCGAAGTTCAATTGCTTATGCGACCGAAAGTGGAGAGTTAAACACATTAAGAATAACAGGAGGAGCTCTACTTAACTAATTTAAATTAAAAACACTGAATTACAATTGAAACAGAATTATATGGTTTCCCTGGCCTCACCCCCTTATGGAGAAGTAGACTTCCACAGGCCATTAAATGCCAAGCATGTATTCAACTCAAAAGGGGCTGTGCATATTTATTACCCAAGGTGTTTAACTAGAAAGTCTTGAAGTCCAGGACTTTCAACAAACAAACACATTTGTGTCTTTATTTACGTATTTATTCCTGTATTTATAGTCTGCACTTAGCAATCTCTCTCAACCTCTTCCCACTGAAATAACAAGACACCGTCAAAAACACTGCCTCATCAGTCAGAGAAACAATTTGCCAACTGCAATAAAAGAAGAGTAGAGAGAGAGAGGGAAGATGGGGGATCTAGAATCCAACAGTTGCTGAACAGAATGCACAGTGAACACCTCAAAGAATCCCAAAGTTTGTGTAAGCCACTAAGTCTTAAAGAAGAGCAAAGATAAATTTATTAGGATGCTGAAAATCTGAGAAGAGACATCCTATAAAGTTGTTCGCTCTGTTCGGATTCAACCTTGAAGCTCTGTGTGGACTTTGTACTTCAGTTGGCTTTTTACAGTGAATTTGGCACTTTAGTTGTTGGCAACAATTCAAAGGAGATAAAGGTGGGTGCTTATCTCGAGGGACTGTTTTTGACCCATTACGGACTGGGAATGAACATAATTCCCAGCGTTGAAATAAAACAAGAGATGTTTGGACTAAGTGTGTGCTTAATTATGGTCTCAGGAAGCCTTGGTCAGAACAGCCCTCAACTTGTCTTTATGTACCACCTTGGGGAGGGAAAGAAAATTCTGAGACTTGGAATCTCAGAACATTTTCAGACATTGACTTGGAGAAGGCAGGTCTAATGCAGGAAAGCTCTGCTGACCCTTTGGAATTACAGAAAACCGAAAGTCCACAAAACCAACAGTCACTGAATTGAGGCTTGGGGGTTGCTTTTCCTCCCACCTGTCGTTCAAGGCTAAATTCATGTTGTGCCCAAATAAGTATTTGGCATAAAACTTAGGAGCAAGAAACAGCTATCACCAACTTTCTTCAATGCTTTCCCAGAGGGAATGATGACCAAGTGGTTAAAGACGCTGAATTTGTCGGCTGAAGGGCTGACAGCCCAGGTTCGAGACCCGAGTGCAGCCCAACGGTTGAGCTCCCATTCTCTGTCTCTGCCCACTTAGCAGTATGAAAGCATGCAAGTGAAAGTACATTAATAGGTACCATTCTAGTGGGAAGTTAACAGTGTTCTGTGCACCTTTGGCATATAGCCACATGACCACAGAAAATATCTTTGGACAATGCTGGCTCCCTTGGCCAAGAAATGGAGATGAGGCCCCACGCCCTAGAGTTGGACACAACTCAATAGAGAAACCTTTACTTTTACTCAATGCTTTCCCAGAAATCCAACTCACAAGAAATAAAATTTATGTGACCCACACAGCAGATCCAGCTTTCTTATTCCCATCACTGAACCTCTGAACTTGGGAGGGTTTAAGTATCACAAAGTTTGCCTAAATGGAGGCTTCCAGATCCTCCAGAAGCCCTCTCCATCCCATCAACTGTGTCTTTCAGCTCCAACTCTCTTCTCAAAAGACCAATAAAGCATCTTAACGTTTCCTCGAGGTCTTCTGAGACCTTAGGAACTGCCGTCCAACCTTCCAAAATTGCACATAAGACTACCAACATCTTTCACAATTTCAGTGAAATCTTGTGAAAGGTTGGCATTCTTGCACAAGATATCGAAGGATCACTACAATCTTCAACATCCTATCACATTTTTAAGGCAGAAGTGAAGCTACCATGTAACAGGGTACTTGATGGTGGTTACATCAAGGCCTCCTCTTCAACACACAGAGGTGGTTTTGCTATTAAGACTTTTGCTTAATAGCGTATCCAAAATACAAAGCCAAAATACAACAGGTGAAAATGTGTTAAGCTTCTCCCTCCTGGACTACTTCTTCCCAAGGTAGTAAACATCTGCAGGACTTCAGTTGTATCTGACTGGACTTGGCAAGCCAAAATCCATTGGGGAAGCATTACGGGCAGGTTGATAAGAATTTTGTCATTCGCTGCCCTTGTCACTGTCAAAATGGACTAAACAAAGCAGCAAGACAAGAAGCAATAGATCGAAACTGAACAAAGAGAGAAGCAACCTAGAAGGAAGGAGAAATTTCCTAAGAACAATCAACCAGCGGAACAACTTGCCTTCAGAAGTTGTGGGTGCTCCAACACTGGAGGCTTTTAAGAAGGGACTGGACAACCTTTTGTCGAAAATGATATGTGTTATCTTGCTTGAGCAGATGGTTGGACTAAAAGACCTCCAATATCACTTCCAACTCTGTTATTTTATATTCTGTAAACAGAAAGCAGTTTGTGCTGTTTTGAGCTGGCTGGGAAAAGATTCAGCACATCTATTTTGTGGTTTTTGGAAATGAGTGTCTAATGGTTTGGTGGCTTTGATGCATATCTATGTTATGCATTTTCTGGCCCTTGTTTTTTCCCAGCATAAGAACAGACTTCCAAGAATGATTTAAGGCAAATCATATAGACAGCCAGCATGATTCTGTATTAATTTGCATTGACCCTTTGCAAATAGTTACAAAACCCCCACAGTGGTTAAAGAAAGGATTATAAAGTGAAACTTGCTATCTCTCACTGCTTGCTTGTCATCTCTATATTTTTGCTTGCTTATCTGCACCGCATATTTGCCTCCAACAAACTGAACAATTGCATTTACAAATTCTAACACTAAACCTGGATTAATTTTAGGATAGGTTGCTGAGCAAGATGGAGCCCCCCTTGAAAGCAAAATAACAATGCCTTGTTTTGGAAATCTTACTTGATGGATTCTCATCCTTTTTCCTCAAGCATCTCAAAAAAACTGGAAAGCATGTAAGGACAAAATAAAACAAAAACCAGAAACAAGTCTGGGCTTGTGGCTTTATGTAACACAAGCTATGATTAAAAGAAGCCCATTAAAAAAACAACTTAGCATCAATCCATGATTAAAGTAATTGAAAGTGGATTAAGATATTAAAGAGTATTCACAACTAGGCAGAACGAACCCTGATCTTACTTTTACATAAAGCTACTCCTCAACTTCACAACTATTTATTTAATGACTATTCTAAGTTATACCATCAGTGAAAAAAGTGACTTATGATCGTTTTTCACAGGACCCCCATGGTCACATGATCAACATTTAGATTAGGGGTCCCCAAACTTGGCCACTTGTGGATTTCAACTCCCAGAATTCTCCAGCCTGCATAGGAGTTGAGGTCCACAAGTCTTAAAGTGGCCAAGTTTGGAGACCTCTCATTTAGATGCTTGGCAACTGACTTGTATTTATGACAGTTGCAGTGTCCCAGGGTCATGGATCCCCTTTTGCAACCTTCTGACAAGCAAAGTCAAAGGGGAAGCCAGATTCACTTAACAACCGGGTTTTAATAACTTTAACAACTGCAATGATTGACTACACAACTGTGGTAAGAAAAGACACAAAATGGGGCAAAACTCACTTAACAACTATCTCGCTTAGCAATTGAAATTTGGGGCTCCATTGTGGTCTTAAGGATTCTGTCGTCCAGCTTCTGAGCTTGTTTGAAGAAAGCATCTAATCCTATGAGTTGGCACTTTGTACCCACTTAAACCATAATCAGTCATGGGGAAACCCCTGTCTAGGCTTTCCCCGAATTCTGAACCATCTTGGAGAAGACTACAGTAAAATGATTAGAAAAGCAAAATGAATTACTGTTGTGTTCCTCAAAGCAGGCAATTTGAAAATGAACAAAGGCCACCATGTAGTCAATTCCTTATTGCTCTGCTGCCTCGTGCATTTATTGATTCTGGTAGTGAATCAATAGCAGGGCACCTG